GTGCGAAACGCACCATTTTGACAAATAAATGGAGAGTTTCGCACCATTTTATTAATATTTTATTATAAAAAAGTGCGAAACGCACTATTTTAACAAATAAATGGTGAGTTTCGCATGATATTATTAATATTTTAATAGAAAAAGTGTGAAACGCACCATTTTAACAAATAAATGGTGATTTTCGTACCATTTTATTAATATTTTAATAGAAAAAAGTGCGAAACACACTATTTTAATATAAAATGATAAGGTTGGCATGATTTTATTAATATTTTAATAGAAAAAATGTGAAATGAATTATATTAGTAACAAAAATTTTTTTGAACTAAGATTTGGATTTGCGTAGCGTTACTATGAAAAAAAAGTTGCGTAGAGTTAATAGTAAATGCATGCCGATCATTTGTGAGTTATATTAGTATTATTTGGGGTCCTCTAACATTCCTCTTTTTTCTCTAGAAAATTACAATGGCTCCTGTCTTGAAATTTAACGAAATGGTAGGTTAGAGAACGTATTTTATAAGTTTTTTTTTTATTGTATAGAAACGTTAATAACGTTTCTTTTTCTTTTTGTAGGGTTGCTAGACAAATACTATAACCAAACTTTAAATTAGGTAAAAAGGGACCAGGAAAGGGATTTTTCGTGTTTTTTATTTAAGAAACATTATTTTAAAACATTTCTTTTGGCTTTTCTTTTTTATAAAGTTGTCAGACATCATTTTAAAACAATTCATTGTACATATTAAACATCAATAAATAATATAAATAATTAATTAATCCAATCTTAAATACAATTTCAGATACAACTATAATAATTAGTTAATAATATAATAAAATTCGTATATTTTTATATTTTTAAATTTGTATTAGTCATATAATATCTTTTTTAACATAAATATAGTTAATTTATTAGTAAATTTAGTTTCGACAATTTTGATATGTCAAAACTATTTCAGTAATTTCGTACAATTTCAGCAATTTCGACATGCCAAAACTAGTTTCAACATTTCGACAATTTCGACATGTTGAAACTATTTCAACATTTCAGCATTTCGATACATTTTAATTTCAACATTTCGACATTAGCCTATTGAGTTTCAGCAACTTTAGCCCAAGCTAACTATAATGCTGGTCAGAATTAAAAATCAGATTAATTCGTCAAAAATAATTGGATACGTTAATTTAGATGAACAAATCAATCTGAATTGACTGAATTACAGATCGTAGCACTACTATACATGTCTTACATAAAGTATATTTATTACAAGTATTTGCTTTTTTATTAAGAACTTTTAAATATACTGTTAGTCAATACTTTTCCATTTTAAAAGTATGCAGATGTACAATAATATAAATGGTACAAACTACATGAACAGTGATACTAAAAAAAAAAATTTTTTTTTAAAAATTTTATTTACTCGGTCCAGTTCCAATTGACAAAAGTTTACTGCACTGGACTATCCAGTCCAGTACTATTCCACTGGACTGGTCTAATCTAATAACTAACACTGACAATATTAGCTTCAAAAATGATTGATAGATTGGAAAAATATTAGAAAAAGTGGGAACAACCCTCTTTTTACTTTTTTATTTACTATATTTTGAATATATGATGGAACAATTCAACAATTCAGTTTCTAATATTAATTATTCAGAATTTGGAAAGTAGCTCATGTACTATCAGTCAGTGGAAATGTCATTTCTCTTGCCGATCATTAATTAAAATAATTTTGTGTAACCATAATTGAATATATCACCAAGTAGCTAAAAAAAGAAATTTTTAATACAATGCTTATACAAATTAAGTAAATTAATAGTTCATCATGTGTACTATAAATATTTGTCATCATTTCCTCTTTAGTAATATTTTTTTTTCTTTACATATTACAAGAAAGTTCGTCTTAAAAATGAAGTTTTCCTCAAAATGCAACTTAAAAGTGGGTATAAAATACAATTTAAATAACACAAATATATGTAATTTTATGAGAAGAAAAAGATTTATTAAGTTAAAAAGGGCAGTTATTTAGGGAGATCTTGTGTAAACTGCAAAAAACCAATTTTTATAATAAAAAAAATTTTTCTTGATTTCAATAAAACTCTTAATAAAAGCTTTCTTAACCAGCAATTATTTTATTTTTAGGTATAATTTGGTGAAATGAACAACTTTTGTTAAGCTTAGAATGGTGATTATTAAGCTAGATGTTTTGTTATTTATAAATTTTGTTGAATTTTTTAATTATAGTGTTAATAAAAAAAAAATTTTTTTTTATTAGAATAATATTATTAGGTCTATTTGAACGGTATAAATGAGGTTTAATCGCAAAAATAGTTAAATATTATGTTTTTATTTGTTTATTTAAATTAGACATTTAATACTTAATTCTTAATATTATAGTAATCATGTAAATTATTATAACATTAAAAAAAACTTTAAAATTTTTAATTTTAATTCGTTTAACAAGAAAATAAAACAAAAATTATTTATTCATAGAAAAATTCTTATTAACTATTAGGTCTATTTACTTTGTTAAGTCATAAATACAAATAGTATAATATGAATAAGTAAAATATTTTTTTATATATATAAAAAGTATCTAAAGTAGTGTTAAAATAAAAGATATTTATTAAATATTTAAAAAAAATAAGCAAAAGAATAAGATTAAATAAATTTTCTAAATTTTTATTAGTTTGTTGTATTAAAATAACCATATAATTGACTACTTTCTTTGGCCAGATGCAACCGAATAAAGTGAAGTTTTTGACTTTTAAAAGGTTTAAAAATATTTTTCAAATCTTGAACGAATATGTTTACTATTGTTGGAAAAAATGTTACATTGCATAAATATGGTGTTACTTTTGACCTGAAAATTTCGATTTTAATGTAATTTGGGCTGGCATTACAAATTCGGCCAGAATTAAAAAAATTTTGGCCAGAATTAAAATCTGAAAATTGTCAATTTTAGCCATTTGTACCAACTTTGGCCAATCTTAAATTTATATATATACTATATGCCATATAGCCATACTGTCCCAATAATTTATATTGAGATATCATAGTACAAAAAATCTCCTTCTAATTTTTGGGAACATTTCCACTGACTGCTATTATTGTGCATGGTCTGAAAAAGAACCAAAATGCATTCTTAATGAATTTAATGATTTTTAGTTAGCTCAATATCCATTTGATCTTAATATATATAGACAATTTAACAATGATATTTAATGTTATTAGTATTTTGCTAGTATTTTAACAAATGAACTGGAATTTGTAGCTTGTAAAGTTTTTGGCATTTATATAAATATTGCTTCTGTTGAAAGATTGTGAAGCTATATGGGGTTCTTACAAATTACAATCAAAATGTCATAATCGATTGATGGTAAGTTTAAATATATATTTTTTTAATTTATTATATTTATTACATAATATAGTATTCTAATATTTTCTTTATTATATTATATAGTCAACTAAAGCTCTTTCAATAAGTAAATTGAAAGCTGAAATTACATATGGACATCATCTTCATAATAATTCATTATTAATTACTGAACCTACTATTGATGATATTAATGTTGATTAAAATCCTACATTAATAATCTGGCTGATAATTTAGTACTAACAGAAAAAAATAATTCCGAAGAGTCAGATAATAAAACTAATGAATCTGATGAACCTAAAAATGAATTTGGTGAATATCTTTAGGGTTGGGTAGAAAATAGAAATATTAGAAAAAGAGAAAAATGCTAAATCTAATGGAAATTCTAATGAGGATAACGATAGTACAGATAATAATACAGTAAATATAAATGACATTATTCATCCTACTATTGATGCTAATGCTAAATGGAAACTCTTTTCAAAGATAACATAAATTTGCCATTTTAACGAAAAATTTGATGTCAAAATGTGAAAATAAAATTTATATAATTTTATCTAAATATGATTAAGCTGAACTGTAAAAGTGTAAATATTTATTTTTATTTTATGTCAAGCAGGAAGTACAATGGGTTGTAAAAATGTAAATATTTAATTATTTATAAAATAGATCAGAAAATAATTCAATATCATATGATTATATTTTTGAACAAAATGTCTGGAATATAAAAATTTTGGATATAGATACAGACTGTCCTGTTCCAGACATCCAAAGTCTATGTTTGTATCCCATGACAACACTGATGCAAGAGATTGAAGATTTTATTTAAAAAAGAGCAATATTTTTATTTAGTTCATCACCATAAGCTAAACTAGTGAATAGCGCATATATGTAAGCAGAAAAGAGACATCAACATAAATAAATATTATAAGTTCTGTTTTGGTGCAATAAATATTTAGTTATTTTTTTCTGGATATAGAAAATACCTTCTAAAAAAATATTACGCAAATTTGAAAAAATCAAATATATATATCATATACTATTGAGAATATCAAGGATAAAAATACTTTTGAAAATAAAAAGGTTATTGCCAAAATTGTAAAAATAATTTCAACATTTTGACATGATGAAATGACAAAATAGAAAAATTTTCAATATGATAAAATTCACTAATTTTAACAAGCAAATTTAATCAAAGAGTCCATTATAAAGTTGAAATATAATATAATTAAAATACATCAAAATCTTAAAAATATTTTATGAGAAATCTATTATTTATTGTATATAATTATATATTTATATGAAATTCTCTAAATCATCTGAAAAATTCGAAGAATCTGATGATTGTACAGATATATATTGTTATCCTGTCAACGATTAAAGCTGACTAAAAAACTTTAATGCTTTAACAGGTTAACTGGAGTTTAACTTAATAGGAGAGTCTTAAGTTAATTACAAATAATCACGTGAAATAATATTGGATGTTTAGTTAAAGAAAATAGGTTTTTATTAAAATAATGTAAGATTTTAAATACAACGAAAAATATAGATAATCTCTTGGTTGCAAAATTAACTATCTTGAATTATACTACTGAGAATAATACTCTTTTCAGAATATATATTTATTCAGTACGGTATGAATTTGCAAACCTGTACGGTACAGTTGATCAAATTTTGTGATAATCATTCTGTACCGTACCGTACTGATTCTATATATAAAGAGATTATTATAGAACCAGTACGGTACAGTACGAAATGATCAACCATAAAATTTAACCAACTGTACTGTACCATACTGGCTCTATAATAATCTCTCTATATATAGAACCAGTACAGTACGGTACAGTTATTATTTTAAATGGACATTTTGGATATTAGTGTCCAAATTATTAAAATGAATATTTTGGATATTGGTGTCCAAATTATCAAAATGAACATTTTGGATATTGGTATCCAAATTATCAAAATGAACATTTTGGACATTGATGACCAAATTATCAAAATGAACATTTTGGACATTGATGACCAAATTATCAAAATGAACATTTTGGATATTGATGTCCAAATTATTAAAATGGACATTTTGGATATTGGTGTCCAAATTATTAAAATGAACATTTTGGACATTGGTGTCCAATTATTAAAATGGACATTAGTGTCCAATTAATTATATGCTAAATGTACCATACTGATTTTCTTTTTATTATAGATACAGTACGGTCATGTTAATCAAATTTTATAATTTTGTATGAGGTGATCAACTGTACTGTACAGGTTTGCAAATTCATACCGTACCAATTATCCTACTACCTTTCTTTTTGTATAACTTAAAAACTACAATACAATTCTTAATTATCTGTGAAACTATTTAACTAACTACTCCTTCAACTTGGTAAAATCCTATCATTATTTATAATAAAATAAAAATGAAGAATATTTGATAAAATAAATAAATAAAATAAATAAAATAAATTAAATAAAACTAATAAAATAAATAAATCAAATATATTAAATTTATCAGATTTATCAAATAAATCAAAAAAATCAAAAAAATCAAGGGATCTACAAAATGATTTACAAAATTGATCTACATAAAATTACTACGCCACATTTCTATTTTAACAATATGAAAAAATCAATCATCCTAAAAAGAGGAAAAATATAATCAAGATATGTTAAGATTGTAAAAGTAAAAGATAATTAAATGGATAAATTAGCCAGTAATGGCTAAAAAATCTAGAAATAATTGATGCAAGACTACAGGTAAGGCTGCATTAAACCTAAACTTTGTTTAACATAATAGGACCCCACTTACTTATAATAAAGGTTACCGTAACTCTAAGATAAAATCACTAAGAAAAAAATTTTGATGATCCTACTATAAATAGATAAATTATATCTAAAAAAGGAAATGTTATACTGCATTATTATGATTTTTTTCCTTTTAAATCAATTAACCAATAATATTAAAAATTAAAGTAAGGTAAATTACTAGTAAATTTGAAATTTTTCCTGGAGACCTTTATTAGGAGTAAGCGGGTCCTAACATAATAGAATTATGATTTATCAGAGAGGGGTGCATTTGAACAACAGTTAAACATATAATAAATCACGTGATACTAATTATTACTTTACTACCTTATGAAAAAAGTCTGTGTGATTTTTGTTGAAAAATCATTCAATTAAATTCACTACGATTTCTGTATATTTGACCATACAATAATTGTGCTAAAAATTGCAATAAATCACACAATTATTGCATGGAAATTCATTCAATAATTATCCTATTTTTGACCTGAATTTATACAATTATTGTGTAATTTTTGAGCCAAATTTTAGGCCATATTTTAGGAATTATAGGTTAAATTTTACAGTAATAACAGGCAATTTATAAAGTGAAATTATGAATTTTTATTGACTTAAAATATAAAAAATATACACAATATTTCATAAATAAAATACTAAATTTGATATAATCATAAATATAAAAATTTGTAAGAAAATAAAATAAAATAAAGTATGTTAGTAATATGAAAGTAAATTAGTAGTATCAAAGAAGAAAGTAAATTATTAGTGTAAGTAAATTATTAGTATTAAATAAATAAAAAAGTATGAAGTTAGTGAAGAAAGCAAATTAGTAGTGTTAAAAAGTAAATTATTAGTGTTAGTAATAAAAAAGTATGAAGTTAGTGAAGAAAGCAAATTAGTAGTGTTAAAAAGTAAATTATTAGTGTTAGTAATAAAAAAAAAAGTATGAAGTTAGTGAAGAAAGCAAGTTAGTAATAACATTAAAATGTAAAAAGTTAGGAAAATAAAAAGATAAAGAACACAAGTTTTTCTTACCTGATATTTTAAAAGAAAGTTGAAGAAAAGTTAAAGGTTAAAAAAACATAAACAAAAACATTTCACATAGTCATATTTATTTTGACGATCAGATCACGTGATCAATATATATAATTTTAAGAGTTGATTTTTACCGCATAATTCTGGCCAAATTATAATTCCAGTCAGAACTAATCGTGTAACCTAATAAAAAGTTTTTTACTTTTTTTTAGTTACAAGATGATACAAAAATTTCACCAATAGGTGCGGAAGATGTCCGTTTATAAGCAAATATGCAGTTGAATTTTGTGTAACCTTACTGCATAAATCACTTTACTTAGGAAAATCTATTTGTAATGGTTAAAAGTGGTCTATTTGACCCTAAAAGTGGTCAAATGTAACCATACAGGTAAGATGGAAAGTAGTATAGTAGGATTACCCAAAAATTGCTTTCCGTATCCTAAATTTAAGTCTATTTTCAAGTTGTACAATAATCACAATTTTTATTGTACAAAAATTGAATGTTTTCTGTATCCTAAATTTAAGTTGTATAAAGATCACACAAAAATTGAACATTTTCTATATCCTAAATTTAAGTTGTACAAAAATTGCATACTTTTAATATGCTTTGAAAAACTTCATAGCTATTTTTATCCAAAAATCTGCAATAATTGTATAATTTCCACACAGACTTGAACAAATATTGTACAAAAATTGGATGATTTTTTTTCATAGGGCTATTGTGTATCAATCAATCTATTGGCAAAGTGTAGATAGCAAAATGGCTAAAAGATACAATAAAGGAATTGCATTGGCATATTGAAATTGGGGATATCTGAAATGGCAAAATCAAAGCATATTGGAAAACAAAGGTAGTCAAGAAAAAATACTTAAACAATCATCCTTTGATCAAAGATCTTCAGAATAGGAAAATAAAATAATTTTTGGAAAATATATTGCTAGTCTTTTTTCAAATATTTATGAGAAAAAAGTAAATTTAAGTCTGATAGAATTGTATGATATAATTCATCTTCTTTGGAAAATAGGTACTATTGATAGGGATGAGATCAAGATAGGTGATAATGTAGATAAGTTCTGAACTTCTGATATGGATTATTACATTAAGGTGAAGATTCAATAGCAGAATATTATTTGAAATTAAATAAATGTAATGATATAATCTTAAAATTTAATAACTATATTTTTTAATATTCTAAAAGAATAAACAAAGCTTGTCCTAATACTTTTAAATTATCTTAATCTAACATAACTATGCATAGTTATAACCATTTAAATATATAGTACATAATATTAATTAAAGTATAAATTATATAAAATGTAAAAATACTTAATTAACACTTGTTTAACTTTATATAATTAAATAAAAGTAATGTTTTATTTGGAAGTATAACTTTTAAGATAACTTTTGCATAAAAAGAAAATCAAAGAAATCAGTAAAACTTCATAATTTGAAAAACAACTTTTACCTGGTAAAATATCATAATTATAACCTTGCAAGTGTATAGTTTGTCATAAAAAGTTTATAAAATTATGGGAAATTTGTAAGAATAAACTTAACAAGAAACTTTATTAGAAGTAATTGAAGAAATAAAAGAAAATCAGGACAATTAGGAAGTCGTACTAAATTGAAAATGGTGATAATGGACAAGTGTTAAACCCGATGTCTAAGATTAGATTCTGAATGTTTCAAAAATATATTTAAAAAAGAAATTCACATTATAGTCTATCTAACTTTTAGTTAATAGTATAAATTTTAAATTTGGATTATTAGTTAGTTAAAACAGGAATATATAGTTTAAATGTTTGAAAAATACCTTAAAATTTTATAATTAATATATAATTTTGTTAACTAATTAGCTCAGTAGTATTGTTACCAAATAGACTAAAAATTACATGATCATAAAGTTTTTGTCAGTATTACTAAAGTAGCTTTAATTTACTTTAAATTATGATAAAATTTTAAATGCAAAATTTGAGGTTATTATATCTACTAAACATTTATATTAAAAGTCCAATTCCAGGGTAAAGAAATGATCAACATATCGAAATATGATCAACCCGGCAAAGACAAAATAAAACCTTATTTGTTGCGGTTAATTTCTTAGTTAGCATTAGACACACCTATTTTTAGTATGAAATTGATCATCAAGTGAGGTTCGATAATGGCAGAACAGGTTAGTGAAGAACAAACCCGACAGAAAGAGCTGAATGACATGAGTCAAAACAAGTCAAATGACAGGAGAGTAACGGTAGAAGACGAAAATTCGGAAGGAGATAAAAGTGATAGCAAAAATGATACGACTAGTTTTTTCGCTTCAACAGGTGAAACTGTTGAAGTAGCAATTTCTACAAAAAAGATAAAGAATAATCCTAATCCTAATACTGGATCGAAGAAAGATAACGGCGATGATCCCTATGATCCGTATGTGAACAGTTTTAATTTTATTAATTTTATTCAAACATTTAGAATGTAAATAGTTGAACTTATTTTTTCAAAATATTACTACGTATTTTACCAATAAAGGTCTAGACCAATAACACATCGTGTAGAAATGGCTGTTAAGAAATTCAGAAAGGAGCATGTATCCGAAACTCTGCGAAATCAGTTGTTAAATTCATATCTAACTTTTGGCGGAGTCAACATAAATAAAAAACAATCCGAAGCCAATGGAATAGATATAGCAGATGTAGAAGACATAGAAGTAGATTTTACGTATAATGTCTGCGTCTATTTGTCTGGCTTTTTGATAGACAAATCTGGTTATGTTCAAATGAATATTTTCAGGGAAGCACCTCGAGTTGTTATTTTATTTTTAAATTATTTATTTGAAAATAAAGTATGTCCAGAATATGAAGATGATATACAAGAGGCATTGCGAATCGCTCATAAAGCAAAATATGAATTACCAAACTGTAAAGAACTTGACTTTAATGCGCCAGGAAAATTCAACAAAGCATGTTCTTTGTTATTCGGGGGAGAGTTGTATGGAGCGTTCGACGATCCTTTTTGTGAAGAAGAATTAGCAGCGTCAATGATTGGAATTTCAAAAGAGGAGGGAAAACAGCTTATTGAAAAAGTATTTGACGTTAACGAATTGAAAGAATTGAGACAAGTGAAAGAAGATTCTAGGTACAATTTGGCATGTGAAATTATTGAGGTTGAGCCTTTTCAAGCAAACATTTCAAATGCTGAAAGCTCTAATTCCGAAACCCAAAAAGTTAATGGTGAATCATCTGATCCCAATAACAACATGCAAGTTATCGATGAAACAAATCTTAAGAAAATAATGTTACGTGAACGTAATGTTGCCAACATAGAACCCTTTTATATCAGGGAATGTTCTTATGTAACGAATTATGCAATACCTGGAATTCTCATCACTGCAGATTTTCATAAATTGTCTAATGGGTTTTGGTATTGGGATAACATAACAAACGTATACCCTTCATATTACCTCGCATGTCCTGATGACGATGATTGAAGTAATTTTTCATTAAAAGATGGACTAAATACTTAAAATCCACACAATTATCATAATTTACAATTTCCCATGATGCTGCTGCCCCACTTTATTTATTTCTTCAAAAATCTAATACACATTAAATCGTTTTCCAAAGCAAAGCGAAGGACATTAATTAGAGTGAATTTATTCTGATTTAAGGTTATGATTATATAATTTTAAATATTATATTTATTTTACTCTAAAAAAAATACAAATAAATATAATAATATTTAAATTAAAATACTTACATTATAATGTATTAAACAATATTTATAATAAAATTAAATACAATTTTTTTTTTATATTCTATTAACATTTATATAAAGTAAATTATTCAGAATTAATAAAGCAAGTTAATTTATATCTTCAAGTAATTTATTAACATCTTCGTCTTCAAGTATATTTGTATTATCTATATAATAAATAAAGATATTAGATTAATTATTTTAAAATTAATGTAATTTTATACAATTACCTTGTATATCAATTGACAAAGGATTGCTATTATCATCTATAAATTAAATGAAACAAAAGTTAGATCTTATATTATAATATATGCTATAAGAAAAAGGTCAATTTTTTACCATTTTCATCAATGCTAAATTCACTTAGTAATCTATCAACTTCTTGCATAAGTCCATCGTCTTCTTCATCAGAACCAAATGAAACGGGTGACTCATTTCTTTGCATTTTTGATGATTTCTGTGATTCAACTGATATAAACGAATCTTGTGAATTATTTCTTGGCATTAATGATGAAGAATCATTATAATTACTTTCTGCATTATTATTTGAACTCTCTAACGATTGAACATGGGAAGTCATATCATTTCTATTCGAATTTGAAGAATTATTCTGATCTGGTGATGATGGTATATGTGATTTCGGTTTTGCATGGTTAATTCTTTTGCCAAATTTTTCTGCTAATCTCATACCATCTGACATTAATGCATTAAATATTTCTCTTCCAAGTCCTTTTGATCTTTCTTCTGTTGGTTCAATAAATTGAAATGACGACGCAAATCCTGAATCAAAAAATTCTTCAAGGTAACCATCTGCTAATACTACCATACGAAATGATGGTAATGACATTCTCAAATTATGCTCATTTTCCGTCAATGTATTATTTACTTCATTTTTTTCAGGTAAATTTGAATCTGATATATCATTAATATCTCCTACAGAATCTGTATATTCAAAAGCATTTCTTATAAAATTTGATACAGAACCTAAATGACCATCGTCATTTCGATTTCTAAATATGAATAAAAAACTTTCCGACATTTGCAATATCTCTTCCTTGAAAAGATATCCATCCAAATCACTATCATGTAAATTAAAAAATAGTTCTATCCGTGACATAAGATCTCCAAAAATAATCTTTCCAAGTCCACATATAACATCTTGAAGTGTAAGTCCACCAGATTGACTTTGATCAAAATGAATAAATAGCTTATGGATAAATTCATATCCTACCAATCTTCGTCCTTGATTATCTCTTGGTGAACCATTTTCCTTTGTAAGATTTTCATCGTCTAATTTGGCCCAGCTGGAGATACTTCCTAAAAATCGGTAAAATGTATTCAAGTCCATTCGAGAATCATTTCGCACGCTTTTTTGTTTACCATAAAACTGCGCATTATAAAACTTATCGTAAATAATAGAAATGTCATTTTTTGAAAATTTTGAAGTATCTTTCAAATTTCTTATTTGTCCTCGCTTTGTGAAACTTTCAATATTATGAATTACTTTAAATTGATGTGTCTTACGAAGTTCTATCACACTTTCGGTTGTGATGTTTGAAAATTCTTTGAAAGCAACCATCATCAATTCATTAAATTTAGTAATTTCTCGAATCTTTTGATTCTTATTATTAGGATGGGCTGGCTGATCTAATGTGCTAAAGTATTTTTTTAATACATGTATGAATTGCCCATCATCGGTAATTGTCAAAAGTTCGTCTCCATTTATTTTGAGGATAGCTGAATTGATCAAAAAAATTTCAAGACTTAACATAATTATTAATTGACAATATTCATCTTCGAAATATATAAGGTTTTCTTACCCAGTCTAAGAATAAAAATTAATAAAATTAATTTTTTCAGGTATTGTAATACAAATTAAATTTCACAAAGGTATGAAAAATTCTACTTACCCAATTTGAAATAATACTCGGGGACCTTCCATAAAGAAACAATCAAGCACTCGAAAAGCAAAAAGAAGGGGCATGGAATTTATATACAAACTTAGAAACCATGGAAGACAAGCGACAGATAGCTGTACATCAACGTTTTGAAAATGTTCATAAAGTAAAGGCATCTTATTTTGAACATAATGTTCAAATATTATTTGATCCAGAATAGCTCCATACATTGAAGTGCTATATACATAGATATATTAAAATACCGATTTTTTTTAAAATAAAAAAAAATCATAAAAAAGATTTCCAACCTATAATATCCTGGTATCAATCTGTCACATAAAACACTTAAAGTCCAAAATGCTTGTTCTTCACTCATATAACTAATGAAACAATGATTCTTAGACATTAATAAGAAAATTTTCAAGTCTAGCTTATGATAGTGACTCACATTAAGATAGCAGAAGCAACAATATTCATGGCTTGGCAGTAGCCTAATTCAGGATCTTTCCAAGAATAAGCTGTTAATACTCTTCTCAGAGTATTTATCCCTTCTTTGGTTTGATAAGCAGGATATTCAGGGAGAGATCTAATTTCTCAAATATAAAACTCAAAATATTAACTTAAATTTAATAATAATTCATTTTCAAAAAAATTTACCTATTCAAGTCCTTTTCGATCTCTTCTGTTGAAAGAGAAACTTTACCAGCATTATCCTTCTGTAATTTCTCATACATCCCATCGTTTACAAATCGCAAAAAAATTGCTCCGGAACAAAGTTCCCAAATTTCTCCACGTAATTTGTTTGGTAATCCGACACGAACAAGTTTGGAAAAATAAGGAACTTTTACCAATGTCAAATTCCTGCCATTTGCTAAACATAACAATTATAAATATAAGCGTTTGTTTCTCATCCGCTTTATAAATAAATAGTGAAACATAATATATGTAGCGTACTCTGTAAATATTCAATCCATAGCTTTGTTTTGTATCTATCTCTTAATCTAAATAAATAAAAATATGTTAAGAATTAGTTAAGTAATCATTACAAAGTAACTTTTTTCCTTTACACATACTTTTTAACATCACCAGGAAATCCAAATATCAATCCTAATCCACCAGTTGAAATATCTTTTTTTGGATCTACAAGTAAAGCCTCCGAAAAACATGTACTCAAAAAAGATCTTAAGTTCTTCATATAGCGTACCTGGTTTTTAAGGTTGTCGCGTATTGTGTTACAAAATTTTTCAAAAGTAACCTTATGTCCATTAATTTGCAAAATTAATTTCATTTGGTGCCAATTTAATATTGAAAGCGCAAAATTATGCGTTCCGCTATTAATTCTTTCGACTCTTCTCACGGTATATAACGGTAATACAAAATTACAACTTTTTGCATCATCAGCCACAAAGGCAAGATAACCTTCAGAAAGCTGCAATTTTCCATTTAGAGATTCCTTCATCTCTGGAGTTGAAAAATCACAAGAACACTCTTCCATAAGATGTTCTGTTGCCGGTAGATTAAAAAATGTTTGAAATTCTATATCTCTTTTCCGTTCCTCAAGGTCTTTCCTTAAAGGTGGTACCATTGGGGAACGTGGTAATTCCGAATTATTAAATTTCAATTCGGATTTCTCTTTTTCAGGGCTAGGTTCAAAATTGGAATCAAATATAAATTTTCCAGGTGCTGGCTCTATGGCCGCATTTTTAAGTAATCTCTGCATAGACTGAGTAATTAACTGCATTAAAGTCTCATAAGTCTGCGTTTAACAAGTAGAATTAATTTAATGGTTAATAAAAAAAATAAAAAATTCAATCGATTTTAATTACCTCATCCCGATGAAAAAGATTAGAAAAAAAATGCTAAATAGTTTAAATGCCTGGTTATTTTAGCTGTGAACGTAACTAATAGAATCGTAATTAATTTTGATTACAAACCTCTTGACCATCTTTTGTGATAACTTTGATAGAATCTGCAACCATTCCTCGTTTCGATCTTTCTTTTAATAAATCTTGAATATCCTTTAATTCTATAAAGATTTTTGTTTCGTGACCCAACATAAACGCATAAAAACACAGATAATTTTCGCTGATATACATCCACCCCTGAATAATTCCGCGATACGCACAAGAATAAACTACAATAACAGAATTTCAATTATAATTATAATCCGATCAGATCAACTTTATTTCCCAAGGAAAAAAACCAAATTTATTACAGTTAACCAGCCTTTCCGTAGGAGCAATATCAAAAGTCTGTCGAAAAGCCCTAGATGCAGAACGGACACTTTCATCTTCGGATACTTCATCAGTTCCCTTATCTACAAATGCAAAAATTAAAAAAAAATCATAATAATTACAAAAATATAAGAAAGCCATACCTTGGCGAGTGACCAATGAATTTATTTTTGTTACTACGTAATTTTCTTTCTCGCTGGGATCATCAAGTTTAGTTAATCCCAGGACTAAATTATCTGATAACAATTACAATAATATTTATAATAATTTTAGTATTTTACAAGATTAACAAATAGAATTAACATACCTTCAACCCATTTCCAAGCTTCATTAATTCCTTTCTCAGTTTGAGAAACCGCAATTTGTAAAGAAATACTTGTAAACTCGGCTCTAAAGATAATTCGAAAAGGTGGTTGTTTTGTATCAAATCTAAAAAAGATTTTTTGAAAACACATATTTAGTAAATTTATGGTATTATAAAGACTTGATTATGAAGATAAATGAATACAAACACTTACACATTTTGAATCGTACCTATAACACCTCTATAAAAAGAGTTTATATTTGAAGCTTTGGTCCTTTGTAAAGTAAAATATTTAGAAGATTTTATTACATCCCAAAAAGGATTAGCCAACTCACAAGGTGTAGGTAAAGTGAATACCCCACGAGGAGGTTCAAAATGAGAATTCATATTAAAAAAGATTTACTTATATATTTTAAAAAATAAATTTTAACATGAAGGACTAAGAAAGTAGGATTTCGTTTAGGTCATTGTTTCATAAAAGCAAGTGTTTCACTGCATTGATTACACGCGCTGGGAATGAATTACTGTAACACTAACTTTGTTATTTTTATCAATTTGTCGGGAACTTGTCTCTTTAGGAAGGTTCATTAAAGAAGACCGCCACAAATTTATATAGCACGTGACAAATAGAATCTGTTATACTTGATAAAATTACTATTTCATTTTCTAAATACAGTACATCTTATCAAAACTTTTTAACCTATATTTGTATAAATATATAATTCATAATAGGTTTTTGAAAATATATAAATGTGTATAAATAATTATATTAGATATAAATAATTATAAAATTTTTGTTTGATGTTTACTAATATATGGTAATACTAGTCATAGTAGAATAGTTTTTGCTAAGTTTATTTGCTTAAATTACAGGATGTATTTTGCTAAGATAAGTCACTAAAATGTATTCCTATTTGTAAAATATTAGTAATTTACTGACTGTATATATTATGTGAAATTTTAAATAGAATAACAAATAGTTTATTGGTATCCTTTAAGTTAGAGTAAATTTACACTTGTATTTTTATATATTTATATCTTTTTTAACTATTTCTAACATACTTAAAAAAAAAGTAAATAATTATATAAATCTGATTAGAATTAAGATAATTTTGATAATTTTAATTAAAAAAATTTGTTAAACTATATCCCTATAAAAAGTATTATATTTAAAATATATCTAAAATATATTTAAAATATACTTAATTTAAAAATTGTAAAATACATTTTTAATATATTTAAAATAGAAATAATGTATTTACCACACCCTGCATTACAAATTTATATATATTTGTATGTTTATCATTTGCCATTTTAAGGGGGGTGCGGTGTATAAACTAAAGATCGATATAAACAATTTACAAAAAAGGAAGGATGCATTGTAACGCAGGGTGCAGTAAATAAATTCACTCTTTAAAATATACTTAAAATTATATATATTATTTTGAATTGCCATAACTATAAATAAAATCCCAAATTCAATTATGGCATACCAAATTATTTTGGCACTTTACAATTTACATAGTAAATTACATATAAACTGAATAAATTACAGTATTCCAAATTATAATTATGGCATCCCAAATTAATTTGGGCATGTATACTTTAAGTATATTTTAAATATATATATATAGTATATACACCCACCTGCCAAAAGTATTCAGACACTTCTAAAAAGTGACCATTAAATCACATTATTTTGATGTCCAGTGATCAGAATTTAACGATTTATGATTCATTGGATTCGTCTAATTGTGATGCATCTAACTGCAGTATTTTCAAGTCTATAAGTTCAATAGATCAGATGTTATTGCCGAATGTCTAAAAACAGTAAAATGCAAATAACTTTTGATCTATCAATTCTAGAGACATGAAAATAATATATACAATGTACCTTAACAAGATAAATCTAATGAATCATATTTCATCATTCTAAATTTAATAGGGAAGAAAATGGTGTAAAATTTGTATTTGCTAAAGTTTTAAAGATAAAAAATAAATTACTTCATAAAGTTAAATCACATTATTTCAATAACCAGTGAACATAATTTAATTATTTATGATTCAATAAATTCATATTATCAAGATGCATCTAATTGCAGTGTTTTTATGTCTCTAAATTTGATAGATCAAATGTTATTCTTAACAGAAAAATGCAAATAATTCATTATTCACTTTTAAAAATTTGATATATACAAATTTCAAAACGTTTTTTTCTCTATTGAACTTAGAAAGATGAAATATGATTCATTAGATTTGTCTTGTTAAGGTACATGGTATCTATTATTTTCATATCTCTAGAATTGATGAATCAAAAGTTATTTGCATTTTACTATTTTTAGACATTTAGCAATAAATTCTGTTCTATTGAACTTACAGACTTGAAAATACTGCGGTTAGATACGTCTCTATTAGACAAATCCAATGAATCATAAATTGTTAAATTCTGATCACTGGACATCAAAATAATGTGATTTAATGGTCACTTTTTAGAAGTGTCCGGATACTTTTGGCAGGTGGGTGTATATATTTTATTATTATTATTATATTCAAAGGAATTATAATACATTAATACAAAGGGGAGACTAAGTTTCTAAAATTCCTTAAATGATTAAAAAAAATTGACTACCTGCTGAAGTGCAATGGTAAATATATTCTATGAGATAACACACTATGTTAAAAAAAAGGAATTAGTAGTTAGCAGTAAAAGTAGAAAAACTTTATTCTAAATCCAAATACTAACTAAATAGAGTAAGTAAAATTTCTGAAAGAAACAAAATTTCTATCTAAAAAAAAAAAATTAAAACTATTCCACAGTATGTAAGATAAAAAACTAACTTCTCATATATAGACTAAAAGTAAGTTACCCATTTCAGATCCTGTTCGTTAGCTTTTTTAGCATCTCCTTCAATTCCATTATTTTCTTATAAAGTTTTCGCTTGGAGATCCTAGGACTCTTCTTTTCTTTATCCTTTTTGTCCTTGGATTTGCAATTTTGGTTCGAAGTGCCCTTTGAGTTATCTTTCTTCTTTTCTTGATTATTTTGTGTTCGAGTATTCAGGAAAATCCTATTAGTACCTGTGACTTTATTCTTAAAATTGGGATTCTTCTTCTGAAAGTTGTTAAAAACCTTAGATTTATCTTTATTACTTGATTTATCTTTAGATTTTCTGGTGAAGTGTAAAGAAGTATGGCGGCACTAATTTAAAGTTTTGCCATCAATGTCATAACTTTTTTCTATAAGATTGTTTAGATCTTCCTATTTTTCTAGATAAGTTACGAGTTTACTAAGGTTGCTTGCCGAAACCTAGGGGTTTAGGCAAGATGGCGTTTCGCCGAAAAGCGAAATTCTGCCGAAACTATATTAAAGTTATATTAAAAAACTGGCGAAACTTTGGAGAATGGCGAAACTGCCAAAACTTATTATAAATGCCGAAACTGCCAAAACTCTGCCGAAACTATAATAAATCTATAGTAAAATTTTGACGAAACTAATCGTAGGATTTTGAAGAGGTTTAGACAAGCAACCTTAGAGTTTACGCTTCCTTTCTTCTATAGTAATAATTTTAAAAACTTTAAAACTGTTAATTGCTGTTAAAGTCAGATGGATTTGTTTTTAATAGAATAGTAGTATAGCATGCAGCTGTCATTGAGTCCAGAATATTATAGAAAACCACTTGGAATCTCTCCCTCTCTTTTCATTTGTAAAGAAACCAGGTGGCAGAAAACCACCTTACTGAAATGTTCTCTAATAGTGCTGTTTAAGACTCCAAATTCCATTATTCTATATTTGCATGCAAAGTTGGTTCATCTTCAATTTAAGCCTAATGGTACTGTACTTCTTTTACTGAGTAACTTTGATGGAAACAACCTTATCCTAGGCTTCCAGGTAGTAAAGTAACTCTACATTTTTTCAGGTCAAAGGAACATCATATATTATAATATCATTGATGTTGACTAAGGCTGGTCTTGTTGGTTGATATTCTATTATTATGTACATCATCTCTTCTTTTGTAAATCTGAAGCAGAGGCCATTTTTTCTTTAATATTTCAGTTTAAGAATATTATTAACGTTCTTTATTTTTTTTTTGTAGGAGTAACTTCTTAGACCTTTCTTTACAAGCATTTGAAAGGTAAATCTGAGAGGGGGCTATTTTTTCTTTAATATTTTATTTTAAGAACATTATTAAACGTTCTTTATTGTTTTTTTGTAGAAGTAACCTCTTGGATCTTTTTTCATAAGCGCTTGAAAGGTAAATCTGAGGCAGAGGCCATTTTTTCTTTAATATTTCAGTTTAAAAATGTTATTAATGTTCTTTATTATTTTTTTTATAGAAGTAACTTCTTAGACCTTTTTTTATGAACGTTTGAAAGGTAAATCTGAAGGGAAGGCCATTTTTTCTTTAATATCTATCTATATATTAAAAAACTGCAATCACGTGGGCCGGTGGGCGTTATGTTTAGATTAACCATATAAATAAGTCATTTGAATTGTGTAACTCTACTCCTATTTGTCGCCAATGTTACACAAAGCCAAAAAAGGAAATTTTATTTCTGGCGAAAAGCTGAAATTTGGGTTACACAGAATTCCATAAAAGGAAATTGACAGTTACGCGAATTTCCGAAAAAGGAAATTTTATATTCTGTTACTTTTCAGAGAAAGTAAAAAATTGTGTTGCTCAAAATTTCCAAAAAAGGAAATTCTTTGCAGATCTTTTAATTCTGGCCGGAATTATGCCATTTTAATACATTATTAACCGTTGTTGTAGACAACAGGTGAACACTAGTTTTATTTTAAGAACGTTATTAACATTTATTATTATTTTTTTTATAGAAGTAACCTCTTGGACCTTTCTTTACAAATGTTTGGAAGGTAAATCTGAAGCAAAGGTCATTTTTTCTTTAATACAGTCAACTCCCTCTATAGTCACTCCCGTTATAGTAAAATTCTACTATATAGACACACCAGTTGAATGTTCAAAACACATTATTATTAAAATCTATCCTATATAGTCACAATCTATCTATAGTCACTATCACACCTATCCTCAAAAATCTTATATTAAAAAGCACCGTTTATAATCACAGTTATATAAAGAATATATTAAATAACTTGGCATCTAATAATCGTACAAAGATGTATCATAGCTTGTTAGAATCGTCTCACTGAGACGAATCGAATGGTGGTAGTTTTATCCTTTTCCTTTGCAAATGTTTACGGCCAGACCACCCATTGCCTCTTATGAGACTAATCTCGGGTCTGTGTCCTATCATCTTCAATGGGCAACCATTATACCGAGTACTTAATTCCTCAGGTAACAGCACCACTATAGAAGACATCCCCCATCGGGCCATTTTAGGCTGATCTGAAGCTAGGTACACGCCGCCTACTCATCCTATACCCATTGCATGATACTGATACTCAATTTATTTAACGACCTTTAGAGAGCATCTACTTTCATGGAGGACTTTCGACAGGTAACATCAACCATCTAGTACCCTTCCATACCACCATTTTAGGTACTAAGTCTCACTCAAAGGCCACTACAGCCCGCGATTACCTAGTACCGATAGTACAGTTGTTTACCCCAAGTGGTATACTTTTGTAGTGACCACTCGGACAGGAAGTAGCAGGCATCTGTCCAGGATTACCCCTTATGGTAGGTATCAACCACCAGGGATCACCAACCAGGACCCAAGGAGTAGGGAATCGAACCCCATAGCCATGCTACCTGTTCTGTGCATGAACACCTTAGTTGGTCTAAGACCTAACAGAAGGTCTAACTACCACTAAGACATTGCACCCTCAGCTTTACCATCTAGGACGACCATCTAGCCATTACTGACTCCAAGCGGTATCGTAGAGTGACCACCCAGATAGGAAGTCCCCCCCAAGGTATAGTAGTGACCTCAAGGACAGGACTGCGCACATGCCAATGGCCTCATAGGGAACGTTAGAAGAACACCATGACCCTTAGTTGAAATGTGCGGCCTAACCGTACACACTAATTCACCATGATGCAGTCCAACTACACTAATCCCTGTACCTTCACGCTATTGGTAGTTTTATCCTTTTCCAATTACTGGCTGATAAGTTATTCAACAAAATGTTAAGCATCGGCATTATTATATTTCTTGATTTACGTTTACTGCGCCATTTAACATTTTGCTGAATTTCTCGGTAACAAGTAATTATAAAAAGAAGATTAATAGCTCGTTGGAATCCCCTAATCAAGACGAATCGAATGGTGGTAAGATCATCTCTCTGTAATCAATATTGACGGAATTACTACTTAAAACCATTTAATATTTTTTAATTTCAGAAATTAATCTAGTGATTGGATTTCGATGTATTTTATACCATTAGATTCGTCGCATCACGACGAATCGAATAGTAATAAGATCGTCTCTCTAGGATCAATATTGGCAGAGTTATTACACAAAACCATTAATATTTTTTAACTTCAGAAATTAATCTAGTGATTGGATTTTGATGTATTTTATACCATTAGAACTGTCTCATCGAGACGAATCGAATGGCGGTAAGATCATTTCTCTACAATTAATATTGGCTGAGTTACGATACAATAAAGTTTTAAGTATAATTTTGGCCAAAATTATGTTAATTTTTGGCCAGAATTATGATATACTAATATAAGAAATTTTTTATATAGTCACATCTCTTTATAATCACCAAATATGGACTGTCCCAAATATGTGACTATAAAGAGAGTTGACTGTATGTCTGAAAGGTAAATTTGAGGAGGAGGCCATTTTTTCTTTAATATTCGGTTTAAAAATGTTATTAAGCTTGTTGCAAGTATTATAAATTTTTTGATAATTTGTTTTGAATAATTTACAACAAACTGCTATGTGCAAAATTTTATTAATATTATTTTAGAATATTAATAATAATTTTAATGATTTTAATAATTTTTCATACAATTGTATTTTGAGTAATTATTTTTTAATAAAAAAAAATTCGTTCAATAAAAACAATAAGATTATTAGCATTTAATGATGTAAAACTTTATTAACTAATAAATGAATGCACATACAAATATAAAACAGCACAGGTCGAAAAGTGAAAAATCAGGCACCAATCAGTCACCAATCAGATAACTGATTGGTGACTGATTGGTGACTGATTGGTGCCTGATTGGCATTTTCGCCAAATACCGTCACCAATCAGGCAGTTTGCTAACATTTAATTCAGTGATCAGAAAAGGATGAAATATAACTCATTGGAATCGTCTCAATATGACGAATCTAATGGTAGTAAAATCTCATTTCTAGGATTAATACTTGATGAGAAATTAAGTAAAATATAAAAATAAAAATGTATCATTTATATTTTATTTAATTTTTTATTAACTATTAATCCTAGAAATACGATTTTACTACCATTAGATTCGTCTTGCTGAGACGATTCCAATGAGCTATATTTAATTCTTTTCTGATCACTGGATCAAAAGTTAGCAAACTGCCTGATTGGTGACAGTATTTGGCGAAAATGCCAATCAGTCACTAATCGGTCACCAATCAGGTTCCTGATTGGTGACCGATTGGTGACTGATTGATGCCTGATTTTTCACTTTTCGACCTGTGCAGTGATTATATTCATTATCTTCATCACTGGATTCATCATTACTTGATTCTTTGCGCTTATTATTATTACCATTAGAATTAAAAATTGATGATTGAAAATTAATCATATTTGAAATATCTAAGTTTAAGTCATGTTCATTTGTATAAAGATGTTCAGCTGGATTTCAGTTGACAGTTCCGCATTCTCTGATTCTTCCAGAAAAGCTTCTTCCTCAAATTTATTAAAAACTGTCTCTGCAACATTTTTCATTGTTTCAGAAGATATTTCTGTTTGAGTTTTATGAAATTTTTCTGCAGCAGTTAATAAATTAAACTGATAAATCTTTGCCAACCCTTCTAGCTTATCAATTTCTAATCAAGTTCAATATTTTCCATAAAGCCATCCTAAAGATGAAAATATATGTTCACATGCTGCAGAACTTGATGTAATAGAAAATAATTTTATTGCTAATTACTGTAGATAATTTGGCTTAACTTCATATATATTCCACTATATTAATGGTGTATCATTACCAATTGTGTAAGAAGCTACATAAGGGTTTAGCTTTCTATTTACAATGCGTATTTGCTCTTTATAAATGCGCATTTGAGCTACCGTACTATTCTGAAATTAAACAACCTCCGAAAATAAGCAACCCTAGTCTGCATTATGGCGATTTTGACCAGAATTATAATTACATTGGCCGGAATTAAGTTCAAAAAATGGTTGTTTAATTTCAGAATGGTACAGTAATAGTTTTTCACAACTTTTTTTTTATTTACCCATTTTTTGCCATAATTCTCCAGCATAATTTGCAATAATAAAAATGCACTAAATTTTAATTCTGCTCCCTTATATGCAGAATGAAGAAAAAATGCAAGTTGGTAAGTAGGATTATTGAATTCTTTAAACCTATGATTAAATTTTTTTATACAATGATTACAAAATCCCTTATATTCATCATCAGTAAAAAGATTTTGAATTACTGCTGCAATTTTCATTAGATTTACGTATGTATCTGTAAGTGTAGAATTAGTCACTTCAACTGCTAATATTGCATTTTTTATTGGAAATAATACTTCTGAAAGATGCTGCATATCACTAAAAAATCCCTTATTATAAAGAATTGTTAAAATAGCTGGAGTTATAATAACTTCAGAATGGTTATCTTGAATATTGTCTAAGCAATTTTTAAATTGTACAATCAAAAAAACACATTCATGTATACTTTTCGTCAAAATGACAAAATACTAATTAAATTTATTTTGACAGACGTAATTAATTCATAGTAATTTTATAATAAATAGTGAATTAGTCTATTCACCAAAATATGGCATAATTAATTAGTGGAGAAGTATACATTTATATACAGTTGTCCACTTAGTTTCAACATATGTTTTGAGATCACCACTACTAATTTCATGTTGTTTAATCTTTTTCTTTTAACATTGCTGCAGCTTTATCACCTTTATAATATTTTTTGAAAAATTGATTATTCTATTGGCACGCTAAATCATTCTTTTTGCAAATGTATGTAATATAATACACTACCTAGACAAAAGTAGCGGACTTCATATTTTATTAATTACTCATAGTACTCCGAAACGAGTCAAGTTGACTCGTGAGTTGGTCAAGTCAAGTCAAGTCAAGTCGAATTGAAAATTACAATCAAATTGAATCGATTCGAGTCGAGTTAATAATTTAATAAAATTGAGTCGAATCGAGTTAAACTGAATTAAACATAATTCTGGCCAAATTTATGGAATTTCCTTTTTTGGAAATTATGTTATACAAAATCTGAGACGAAAATTTTTGAAAATTACAAAAATGGAATTTTGTGGAATGGCTATTACTAAAAAAGGAAATGATCAGCATAACCGAATAAAATCACGTGATTTAATTCGACTCGACTCGATTCGGTTTGACAGGCCAACTCAACTCGTTCAGAGCTCTAATTACTCAAAAATGTACTACATAATAATTGGAGTTAAAATTTAAACTATTATTAGGTTAACTATATATAAAACTAATATTTAGTTAGCCAGCTATTATTCTTAATATACGCTTCTATCTAGCGTGGCATGCTTTCAATTAAATTTGTTAAAATGTACTTCAGAATTTTATTCCATTTTTCATACAAAATACACTCCAATTCCCTCATATTTTTTGCAAGTTTGAGATAGTGTTCCGCATGAATCGATTCATAACACAGTGTGACTCTGATTGCTCCTGAATAATAAAAATGTATTTTGTGAATATCTTTTGATCTAGCAGTCCAATTTTGACGATTTTTTTTATTTTGATCAGGGTAATGAGACCTATCGATTAAAAAAAAGATCATTGAAATTGGATTACTGGATTTTGAGACAATAATTTTTAAAGGTCAAATCAAGTCTGAATCAAGTCCGAATCGAATCAAATTTCAGAAGAGAAATTTGATTCATGCGAAACACTAGTTTGAGACGTCCTCTAATATGCCTTTTCAGCTCTGACTATAAGTGTTCGATAGGATTCAGGTCAGATGACTGACTTGGCCAATTTTTCAAGATTTTTATTTTTTTTTTGTTTCAATCTATTTTTTAACATTTTTAGCAGTGTGAACTGGAGCATTGTCATCTTAAAATAAATAATTTTTTCCATTAAAATTATTGTTAATTAATGGAAGTAAATGTGATTCAAATATTTGAATATAATTATGATGGTTCATCAATTTTTACCAGTAGTCCCAATCCTTTTTCTGAAAAATAACCTCACATCATTATGCCTTCACCACTGTATTTTATTGAAGAAATCATGTTTTTAATATTGAATCTTGTTCTAGAAGTTCTCCAAACACGACCTGGACTATCATTTTTAAATATTATAAAGTGGCTCTCATCACTCCAAATAACTGACTTCCATTTTCTAACAGACTAGTCATACAATCCAATCTAATGAATAATAAAAAATTTTTTTAAAAATTTTTAATGTTATAGTAAAATACTTAAAAAATTTTACTATTCAGCTATATTTTTATCAGTTACGGTACATTTTACCAAAAGCCATTTTGCCAAAAGGACGTTTTGCTGAAAAATAGGGCTAACATTATGCAGAATTATAAATAACTCAGGCCAGAAATTATTTTTTGGCAAAATGGCTTTCGGCAAAATGTCCTGATACCATTTTTATCAGTTTTGATATTTTCAAATAATTGATTAATTATATTTTCTGATTCTGCTATAAGAAGTGCTAACATAGTAACATATTACTTTTTATTATATCATTATAATGTTTTTCTTAAATCTTCCTATATAATAAATATAAAAAGAAGTTTTATTAATCTAATTAACTATTAAATAATAAAATAAAATACTTGCCTTTGATAATGCACTTTACAAAATTTAAATATATGAATTAAATGCTTCTTTTACCTTTTTGTTTTGTCTATATTATTTAGAATTATTTCAAGATCTTTTGCTTACACAATATCTAGATTTGCAATTATACAACTCTATCTAATTTTATGAATATGATTAAATTTGGGAATTAAACCTGTTAATTGATAAATAAGGTTAAATAATGCTTTAAATATTCTTTGGTATACTATAATTATAGCATGATTAGTAAAAATATAAGCAAAAATAAGAACTAGAAATTTATTAAGTAAGTATATTAGAAATATTATATTAATTGCAAATATTATATTTGTAAAAATAAAAACCAGCTTACTCAAATTATGTTGATTATTATAATAATTGACCTTAAATTCATTCATCTTATCTGCTATATATTTAAATAATAAATATATCTGAAAATAGTTATATTTCATCCATTTGGATCAAAAATTTGTATTTTTAAAGATGACTGTATTTTTGAAAAATTTGCAATTAAAATTTTAGTAATTTTATTAGAGTTTAATTGTAGTCATATTAAATTATAATAGAATATTTAAAGTTTTTAACTTTAAATTAATATATAATATTTTTTGACTCATATAAAATTTAAATAAAATACTTATTTTGTGAAAATTTATAAAGTAATACTAAAGTAATCTTTATAAAATAAATAGTTATTATATTTTCATATTTTAAAGTTTTTATTAAATATTAACTAATAATGAAATATTTTTTTTTTTACGCTTTTTAGAGACAGTTTATATCTACAACGGATTCGTGATATAGCTCTATCTGTGGATATCCACTATCGGATCACTAAATTGTAGGTCAGTAACAACACGAGAGGTAATTTTTGTTGAAAATTTCCATAAAAAAGCATAATAATTTTTATTATGCAAATTTTTTAAAACTAAATTTTATTATTCTTCTAGATTCTATATTATCACTTTCGAAGGCGAATTTTGTGTCATCCGACGATCTCCGATATTTACTCGGTATATCCCGGTATACCCGGTATATCAATAAACAAGGACTCTCCGTAATGATAAAATCAAGTACAACTAGTACAACTTGATTCTCCGTATTTCAAGATTATAGTCATATCCTAACCTTAACCGTCTTCTTGTACAATATTAAAAATGCACGCCATTGAAATTGCCAATCCTACAAGCGCAGCTACAGAAAAATGAATGGTTTCATGCTGAACAGCAATATACCTCTCTGCTAGCATTTTTTGAAAGTGAAAATAATTAAATAAAGCCCATATCAATACAAAAATTCCCAAACATATGAAAAATGAACCCAACAAAATCGAATAAGAATATTGGTCTTTCTCGTTTTCAGATGGTAATGCTGGTGATATAATATCAAAACGAAAGTAATAAGATATTCCAATAAATCCTAGCGCCACTGAAAGCCGTAACCATGACAAAAAATTCCTTTCGATTGCTAAAGAAATTTAAACGTTAATAAAAGTAAGTTACAATTTGAAAGAAGGATAACTTACAACAATTATCACGCGCAGTGGATCCATCATTTTTTACAACTAATGTTGTTGGAAAAGGTATAGTTTTGCAAAATGTACAACCAGATATAGGATTTCTATAACATTTTTTACCACACTCGAGTGCTCTCGATAGATTTTTTTGTAGTGCAATGGTAGCGGAGGATTCAGGAAATGTTCCGTATCCATTTTTCAATGATAATAATGAAGTATTCGATGTATTTTTCATAATGAAAAAGTTCTTGAAGGATTAAAGTTTGGAAGAGTCGTCAAAAATAATGTTAATAGAATTATTCCCTTTTATATATACACATAAAAATGAAATGTAGATCCATATTTAGTATACAATATTTAATATATATATTATTTTTAATCACTTTTGTTACTTTTAAGGTCTAATTTTTTCCGCTATCTATTTTATCTCATCTATGTTTTCGTTGTATTTATTATTTTTCTGTAACTGATGTATGAGTCTATGCGTGCATGCATCATCAATCACTTTTGTAATACGCAGTAGCAAAATTACCCTTCTTTGTATTACTAGCATATATATCAATCAAATCAATCACATAACCCACGTTCTCAAATATTCTCATTTTATTCGATGAAATTTATTTATTTATTATTTATAATATTGCGTGCTGAAAATGTATTATTTTATGTTACAAATATTTCTTTTGCCGACAAGATTTTCACATTTTACTATTGTAATAACTTTTTAATTTATTATATGTAATTTAAATAATCAACTTTCACAAATTTACTTCACTTTTCGACAAAATTTTAAGGTAAATATATTTATCCTATAATAATATTTAGTGATAAGATAATGAAGTTCCTAGATAAATGGCTATAATTTATAAAATAAATGTTATTCACGTGAAATGTAATAAAAACATAATGATCCAATAAACATACATTTTTCATCACAAACTTGCGATCAGGTTCTTCATTAGATTGTGCTGCTGCAAGAATTCGCAAAGTATCGGGCGATGTACCGTTTAATTTGTCACCAGTAACAAATTCTGTAAATATCTGTTTACGTTTGCCCTTTTGAAAATAACCGACCATTGAAGCGTTTCTGTTTGGTGGTGTTATTCTATGATCCGGTTTTTGTTCTGAAGTCTGGTCGAGCGTAACTTTTGGAGAAAAAGGCAGATGAATGTGTGTAGTAGTCGTATTCTTGGTTACCTTAAACACCGGAAGTTCACCTTCTTTGACACCCATTTCTTCGTCATCAGATAAAATCATTACTTGCCTATCAGGACTCGATACAGCTGACGTCATTAATACATCCCCGTTTTCATCTGATATAAAACTGGAATTTTCAGAAAAGGCCGAAGAAACCATCTCACGAGAAATGGTATCAGAACGAGTGATATCGGGAGAAATGAAATTGGGAGAAATGGTATCAGAGTGATCAGTATACTCAGTTTTAATTGCCATTCGTTGGAAATAGTTAGTGATGTCGTGCTTTTTAACATTTTTAAGTGGGCTCGTATCAGAACTTTGGTCCGAACCAGGAGAATCAGTTGGTAAAGTGTATTTTTTATTAAACCGAGGTGGTGTATCTTCTTTATACTTTTCTAAGCGGAATGATGTTTTGTTGCGACGGAATCCTACAAAAGGAACCGGGATGTTTTCCTACATATTGAAAAATGAATGAATTATCGTAAAAACATTTTGAATACATTACATTATGTATAATTTTTCCTACCACATTAGTACGTTGAAATTCTTCTTGATGATTCCTATTACCAGAACTCGGTTTTTTTGTTTTTGATTTTTTATCTTTGGTCGACTTTCCTTTCTTGCGAGATTTAATAGTTGTAGGATTCTTTGAGTCCGTGTTTCGCCAAATATCTTTTAAAGATTTTGGTTCCTCCCCTTTCGGTGTAACAACAATATTAGTAATAAAAGATTTTTTAGGTCCTGCAGCTCTCGCAACGCCTATATTACGTAAATCAATCAGAAATATTTCAAATTGCTGTTGAAACTTTGAAATTGTTGCTAATATTTAGTTATAGTTTTACCTTGAGCTCTAGCTTTTCTTAAAAGGTCATTGATTTTTTGCTGGTAATTCTCCATTATTATTTTTACTCGAACTACTGAAATTAATGAGCGGTAATATTGAACATAATGCTTCAAGTGCTTCTAAAAAGGTTGTGTAGTCACGTATTACGTCAACTTTGCCAAAGAAACGTCATTAACATTTTTGTTATTGTTACACTAACGTGCTGCATTGGGTTGTTCATGTGACAACCACACTTTTTATTCGAAATTGATCAAATTTCTTGATAAAGGCCCAGGTAAAGTGTTGGAATGCCAAAAAAATCATGTAGATTATAATTTTTGACAATTCTAGTCAGGAAATATGAGAGGTTCTTAAAGAATTTATATGACATTTGAAGCTATATAAATGAAAATATCCAAAATTTTAGTAACAATAATATGAAATATTATAAGAATTGAAATGGACTGATTTATTTTAAGACATTGATTTACATTAAATAAAAATTATCTTACAAAAAAAAAGATACAAAAAAATGTTCAAGTACTGTCCAATATTAAAAAATCTAACTAAGAAGCTCAAGATGTCAATGTTTAAAAGTTTAATGTTAAAAAACAAATATTTACAAAAAGAAAAGAAAAATTAAAAAAAATAAATTAAAAAAAATGGTTTGAATTTTTGAATCAAAATTTACTATATTAGAATATCTAAATCCTAAAACTGAAAGTAAAGATGTTAGCCATAATTAATTGGCTGATGCCATAATATAAAAACCATCATAATCAGAATTACTAATTTATTAATGTAAAAAATAAATTACAAGATTTGGTAATACATAAACTTGTTTTACAAAGTGACACCAATTTTTTGCTACTAATACACTCCAGCAGTATGGATTTGCTATAGAGGTACAGGGCAAACAATATGAGCAACATATAAAATATTTTTACAAAAATAAGGAAGATTTTGAGAAGCAGTTGATATATAATCAACTTAAAAAAGAATTATGTGAGGAGAATTTGATTGCACTAAGGTATATTTGGTATTACAAAGACCCATATATAGTTATTCCTAAGCATCTTTGAAAATTGAGTCTTATTGAGTAAACTTAAAATTCTAAAATTGCTTTATTGATAAATGTGTTTTACAAATTTTATTATTTCAAAGTATAATATATTTTACAATGTAATTTTACATATTTTTGGTTAAATGCTATAGCTACACATGCATATATGTAAGTAATCTTAAGTGGTTTTTTTTTTTAGGAGACTGCAGGAAAAAATCATAAATGATTATAATATAAAAGATTTAAAACAATAAAAGATATATTAAATAATAATTAACCTTTTTTTGCTTTCAGAACTGCTATAGGATTCAATTTGATAGATTTGTTAACATGAATAACTTGTATATTCTCTGTTTTCTCTGATAACTTGCAAATATCTAATACAGTCAACTCTCTATAAATGCATTTTCCTTAGGATCAGGTATAAGAATGCATTTAAAAAGAGTGTGCATTTATAGAATATATATAAATCTATATAATATTAATCTAAAATTAAGGTAATACAAAAATTTTATAAGTAAACTATATAAAATTTTTTTATAAAGGGTGCATTTACAGAATACATATATATAAAAACTATACATTTAGCATTAAGATCCAAGTTGGAACTACAGTCAACTCCCTTTATAGTTACTCTTGTTATAGTCACATTCTACTATATAGTCACACCAGTTGAATGTTCAAAACATTTTATTATTAAAATTTATCCTATATAGCCACAATCTATCTATAGTCACTATCACACCTATTTTCAAAAATCTCATATTAATAAGTACTGTTTATAGTCACAGTTATGTAAAGAATATAATAAATTGCTTGGCATTTAATGATCGTAGAAAGATGTTGGAATTGTCTCATTGAGACGAATTGAATGGTGGTAATTTCATCTTTCTACGATCACTGACTGACGAGATATTTAGCAAAACGTCCAAAATCAGCATTTTAATATTTCTTGATTTACATTTACTGCTCTGCTAAACGTTTTGCTTAATTTCTCGGCATCTAGTGATTGTAAAAATATGATTAATAGCTCTTTAGAATTATCTAATTGAGACGAATCGAATTGTGGTAAGATCATCTTTCTAAATGAGATGGAACGCAAGTTATACAAGAAAATGTTAAAATGATAAATTATTAGGTATGTCTCGATCTATTGCACCTAGAAAGATGATCTTATCGTCATTCGATTCGTCTCGATTAGACAATTCTAAAGAGCTATTAATCATATTTTTACAATCACTAGATGCCGAGAAATTAAGCAAAACGTTTAGTGGCACAGTAAACATATATCAAGAAATATTAAATGCCAATTTTGGACGTTTCGCTAAATATCTCATCAGCCAGTAATCGTAAAAAGATGAAACTACCACCATTCGATTCGTCTCAATGAGACGATTCTAACAAGCTGTGTTTCATCTTTCCACGATTACTGGTTGCTGATTTAACAATATATACATATATTTTTTAATAAAGTATAATAAAATGTATTAAAAATTTAATTTTTATATATGTTTTTTATATAGTCACACTTCTTTATAATCACAAAAAATGGCTTGTCCCAAATGTGTGACTATAAAGAGAGTTGACTGTAGATAAAAGATGCATTTATAGAGGGTATGCATTTATAGAGGGTGCATTTATAAAGAGTTGCATAGGTAAAAGTGTAAAACGCTGACCAATTGGGTATATATCTGATTGGTAACTTTTTTTTAAAAAGTCAACTGATTTGTTCAATAGTTAGAAATTAGTATACACTTCAATCAGGTATCAATCAGGTTAATACCTGATTGATAACTATCATTTAGTTTAAATTTACCAATTGATTTCTATTGTTTCAATTAGACTATCAATAAACTATTTTTTTTAAACTAAATTAGACTATTTTATACTATTGAAATTTACTTCAAAAATTAACTTTTTTTTAACCTTTTTTTTACTTTTTGTAAGGATTATTTTTGAATATAAATTTAAAAAAAAACTTTTTTTAAACATTTTACTTTCAAACTTTATTAAAAAAAAACATTTATTTAAAACTATTAAAAAAATGGTTTTTGACATTTTTTTTAACAATTATTGTAGAAAATCAAGTCCAAAGTTGAATACTGAATCCCATAGATAAGTTTTGAAAATTTTTTTTTTGAAACTATTAAAAAAGAAATTTTTTTATTTTATTGTAGAGAATCAAAATACTAAATCCTATAAGTAAGTTTCAAAAAAAAAATTTTGAAACTATTAAAAAATAGTAATAAACATTTTTTTTTTTTTTTTTTTTTTATAGGAAATCGGAATACTGAATCCCATAGGTAAGTTTCAAAAAAAAATTTTTGAAATTATTAAAAAAATGTAATAAACGTTTTTTTTTATTTTACAGTAGCTCACAAAAATAATGCAACCATTAAATATAATATTTCAAATTAATGTAATTTTATAATTGTTAAATAAATAATAATAAATTTGAATTTTATTTTATTGTCAAAACTAATATTTCCATATATGTATAGTTCACAAGGACCCCGAATAATACTAATATAACTCACAAGTAAACTTTAAATACCAAAGTAAAAATACATTTTATGATATAACTCTGTCAATATTGAAGCTAGGGATTCGATTTTACTATCATTAGAATCCTCTCATCGAGACAAATCCAATGATATAAATTTTATTAAAATCGAATCACTGGTTATGTTAAAAACAGAGGAATGTAGGATAACGAAATTTTGAAAATACCCCTGTAATACGCAACTTTTGAAAAATTTTAATATAAACTTTATGCGAATTGTGAAGATCTACGCAACTCTTTCCCTGATTTTTGAAATTACTAACAAAAAATTATTTTTGAAATTTTCGTTCGAAAATTTTTAAGTGCTTGTTCAAAATACTAATATTTCCCCAGTTGCTTTCCTCTTAACTGAGCTTTATACTATGACTACACCTCCAGCTCCTTCTGTTATTAACCCAGATATTCCACTGTCACCGTCTCCTGATACTTCAGCTCCTTCTGAAGACTGACCTTTGTCTCCCAATAATACTGCTGGCGTGCCAAATAAACGTTTGTGTACTGTCTCTGATGATGCTATGAATGTTAATATAACTTCGCCCTCTACTCCTACTTCCAACCTTATTTCCAGCATTCCTTTTGGTCTTCCTGTTAATAAAGTCCAAGTGGTTACTTTTTCCAAACTACCACTACACCTGTTGAAATTGTTGACGCTTCTATCCATGCTCCCTCCAATACCAGTGAAAAAGGCAAAGCTGTTGACTTCTCTGCACCAACCCGTGTTTCCTCTCCTGATGCCTCTAAGGCTTCTGTACAATCTACTTTCTCTTGCTATCACGCTACTGCGTATTTATTACGTAACACGCCTGATGCGTTTAAAGTGAAATTTACCACTAACCGTTTCATGTGCGACAAAATCAATCGCGCTTTCTCCAAATTTTCCTCTTGTGGATCTCGTGCATATTGTGAAGGATCTGGTGATGACAAGAGAATCCTTGTCTCATTTTTTACCCTGACAATCTCACTTTCGCCACTTCTGGCCCATGTGTCGATCTTCTTAATCTGGTTTTTGTTTCCTATTCTTCTGCAGATGCAAGAAAGAACGTGAAAGCAAAGTTTTTGTTTGTCACCGATATCCCCTTGTTTCTCACTGAGACACAAGTACATTCTGCCTTCTCCCGTTATGGTTCCATTGTATGTTGCAAATTTTCCCTTCAGAAACATTATTATACTGCCATAGTTCAGTTCAGCACTGCTGATCCGATCGCCCAATTTGACAACATATGGGCTATCCTTTGTCTCAGTAATTTTCTACATGTTTGTCTGGCTTAAGGTTGCCTGTCGAAACTAAAAAGGAAATTCTGAAAGGTTTCTTTTTTTTTTTTACGGCAAAGTGACTTCAAATTAAAGCCGCACGTTGTTTATTAAACTTTATTAAATTCTATATACTAATTATAAATAAAAAGTAATATATGGTGAATTTAAAGTAAAATACACTGCCCAAATAGTCTTCGTCACAAAGTAAAACTAACTAAACCAAGCTTTACAACTACCCAGACCAACCCCGTGTCAAATGCTCGC